TGTAATCATATACATGAGGAAGAAGTCTAACGGACGTAAGCCCAATATAGTATAGCTTTCTGAGTGGTTTGCAATGGATTTGCCAAACAAGGTTGCCTATTACTTGAGGAAGCAAAAAGAAATCTTGAATCAAACCCATGTACTCCTCCAATTCAGTTTCCCATTCCCTCAACGTGTGGAAATTTCCAGTGGAATCTACGTAATGTTCAGCACGAAGAGGTTTCTGGCTTGTATTAAAGGAGTGGATGAACAAAACAATGGTATATCCAACAGCATGTATTATCAGTGTACTGAGAAGTACCCACTTGTCACTTGGAACGCGCTGTGGTTCAAGAGGGTTCCTCGTCAGTAATCTGATACGGGATCTCCACACCTTTTGGCTGAGCCTCACCGTTACTAAAAAGGCAACAAGCACAAGAACCTTGACAGTATAATCGATCAGACGAATCCACTGGCTGCTATCAAGATCGTAAGATGGAGTCTCATTGGTTTCAGCACCCACCATTTTGAACAGAGCCTCTGCACCTGTGATCAAAGGCAGGCTGTAGCCAAGAGCTTGGACACACAGCATCGCAAGCGAGACATAAGGTACTGATTCTGCATTATCTCTGATGTAAAGTAGTTGGCTGGAAATGCAAAAAATTGCCACAGAGAGTGTCAAGACGCGGAGAATTCCCTCTATGCCCCTGCGCGAAAGAATTTCTTCTCGTTGCTTCCTGTACATAATGGGGAATGTTTGAAGGTTCACAGGATTAAAATAGAGTGGATCATCCTCATTCCTTTGACTAGATACGGAGATTTTAGCTGCTGGATTGACCAACCAACGAGCAGTGGTTGGTGGATATGCTATAACCACCTCGATTAGACAATCCAATCCAGCCTCAAGGTCCATACTTTCTGATAGAAGTTTCCACGAGGCTCGAACATCCCTGCAACCAATGAGGTACATTTTTCCAACATGCGGATCATACAACCCCTCTATGAAAAGCAAAGAGATGTTGTATGAGGTTCCAGCGAGACTGAGTTGAGCAGAAACATTTAAGAGAAGCTGTTTCTCTGTGTATTCAGCTTTAGCATGATACGAGTTCTCTTTTTCACTGATTGAGCCATTTGTCAAAGGCCCAAACATTGGACCAAGAGAGAGAATCTCCATCTCAATATCAAATCTTTGGTGAGCTGAATCAGGGATTTGATCCGCTACTGCTGATGTGTGAAGGCTGAGATCTTCAGAAAGAATTGAAAGGCTGACTGTAAAAGAATCTGCATCTTCCAGTTTTGGGAATGTCAACAGCGATTTTTTAAACATTGAACCGAAGTTGAAGGGCTCATTTTTCTCAAGGACTGCCGCAGCTGCATCGATTTTTGAGTACTTGTAGTATGGACGAGAAGCAGTGTATTGATCCCACAGCTCAACAGGGCGGATTAGTTTCTCAAATAATAAAGGGAAGTAAGGCCTACCGCTTCCATCGATGCTGGAAAAATGGCCAGTGATTATGCTCCTCTGTGTTATGGAAAAAGACAGCGGAACATACAAGCAGATTCGAGAATCACAGTTGCTGCCTTCTGCACCAGCAAGTCCACGGCAACCAACCATACAAAGCTGTCCACTGGAAGATTTCCAGATTCCTTCAGCAGAAAGAGTCATGTTATTAAGCCCAGTCCTTTGTGTTGCGGTGAACTGATTCTCAAACGGAGACACCACTCTAAAAATGGAAGAGACCCTTGTAAAAGAGACATTATCTTTTGAAGAACTTTTATCACATCGAACATCCTGAAGGACAAGCTTGACATCTTTAAAACCTCCTTCCGTGGCCTTTATCTCCTTATCTGATGTAAATGGACCCAATTGACTGCAAAAATCATCAGTACCGTTGCATTTCCAGTTTGGCACAACTGTTAAGGCTTCTTGGTGAGTGAATCTTTGAAGAATATAACAGAAGTCAAGCCCTCTATATGTATTTAAGTCAGTACTCAGACTATCTTTGTACGGGTATGGATCACAAGCTTTTGAAACAAGCTTTTCCGAGCCAAATTCGTACTTAGAAGAAATTCCTAGCCAAGAAGACATATGAACTTCATCAAAGTACTTAAAACTGGTTTTTGGGTTTAAGCTTTTCATGGTTCCAACAATAGCTCTATTTGTCAGTGTATTTGTTATAGGATAATGAAGCACGAGCAAAATTCGATCATCTTGCATAAGAGGTGGCTGATTAGTATAACCAGATTCCTTTACCCACTCCCACGGATCACTAGACTCTTGCTGACGAGAAGGCAACATGGTTGTCCCTAACAAACACATTACTCTTTCCCCTTGACTTTTCTTCGATTCAACGTATACTCCTTCAAACAACACAGAGAGCTGGGAATGACCGGGCCATATATCAAAATGAGGACTTCTTTCGTAGGGTTTACTCGAAAACAACCCATCTAGGGTGACACCAATCTGCAATATACCACTCACACTCACAGACTTCTTAGACCGATGAGCACGATCAACATCAGTAACCCAAAACGAAACTAAGTTTGACGGAGATCGAAGATCTAATGATTTGTTCAAAAGATCTCTATCATCAAAGGGCATTAGGGAAGCCTCATTGGACACTTGCCACCAATCTCCATTCAAAAAGGATAATTCATGTTTTATGCTAAAGATTCTGTTATCATCAGGTTTCATTTCAGAAGCAGAAGCTAAAACGAAAGAACATTCTTTCTTGACCTCATCAGTTCTTTCATATTTGTAAGTCATAGAAGTTCTAGTCCTGGGTCCTAATTCTCCATCTACTACATAAGAATGAACAAAACCTACTGACAGCAGCATCAACCAGATAATACCAGCCATTGTCAAATAAGAAGCAAAAATGACGTACCCCCAATATCAGCTAATACTGAATAGCAAACAATTCATTAATCAAGATTCCTCATATTCATAACTAACCCACTATCAAAACACAAATACAAAATAGGGAAGTTAGCAAAATTAAGTCTTTGATCACAAAATTACTGAATCTTGACTAGGAAGCAGCAAGTGAACTAACCTGGTAACTCAGCGGTTACTTAAAATCTTGATACATAGCAAGAGAAATGGAACCCAGAAGAGTATGATTTGAGATGGAATTGTGAAAAAGAGTAGTTGGAGAAAAAAAGATTGGTGTTTTGATTTTTGATTTTTGATTTTGATTATTAGGGTAAGTAAGAGAGTAAGGTGTGAAGTTGAAGTCAAGGCAGCCGATGATGGAGACTCTGGTGAGTGGTGACCGCTGACCGGGTTAAGTCAAATCTATTTCTTATAAGCCGTGTCTCTAACTCATATAATCTGTGTCTTTATTATTTTGCTCGGAAAAGAACAAAAATAGTCCCTTAATTAATAAGCAGAGATCTGAGTTAATCAGTTTACTTAATTCTCAGTTAATTAAACCTCCTTAGCCCTTTTGGAGCTGGAAAAGAAATAAGTGTGCGAATGTGACAATGAATCTTCTTGAATACTTTTCTACTAATTTATCAAACGAGAGAATTTTATACAAGTGTCACCTAAGTATAACTCATTAAGTACTCCAAAACATTTGCATACTGGTCATTGTTTATTTTCAGAGTATTTGTTTGATAATATGTTCAACTTATTATACCAATATATATAAAAATGGTATGAAAATAAGAAATTCTTTACATAAAATATACTCCTATGAGCTACATAAAAATAAATATCTAATAGGAGTATATTTTATGTAAAGAATTTCTTATTTTCATGCCATTTTTATAATGTACATATCTTTATTTCTTTACATAAGATGATAAGATATGTACATTATAAAAGAAATAAGAAATTCTTTACATAAAATGAGGAAAGATATGTACATTGCAAAATTGAAGCTCAAGAGCCAAAAAAGAAGTCTCATAAAGAATGAGACTTAGAAACTCAAAAGAAGGAAAGATATGTAAATTATAGAACATGTTGTGATTCACAATTATTGAAGAATATATATGATATTTTAGAAAAATTGACATCAAGTATATATCTTATTTTGTTTGTTAATTTTGATGTCAAATGGAGTTCTTATCCTAGTTAATAGGTGATGAGGTATTATTTGAGTTCAAAAGGTTAGCGGTTATGAGGAATTCCTTCAAATGAAAATCAATAAAAGCTTTGGTGCAAGTATTAACAATTTGGTGGAGAGAAACTGAGATTAGAGTAATAAAGGAAGTGCTGTTTTTTAAAAATGCGGTTTCAAATCTTGTTTGTCTGTTAGAAAAAGAATATATCTGAATAAGTCACTAGCTCCGTGTCCACAGCCAACATAGTGTGACACAAAAACGAAAACTGTAAAACCAACTATGCAGATCATTGAGGTAGAGAGAAATCATTTATCAGTTGGCTGTGATTCATAGATAGGACGTCAATGTTTCTTAGTGATGTCCAAACCTTGTGAAAGTGTTTTCGATTGAAGACAAACAAGATCAAGAGAGGAAATTTCAAGATGCAATAGAACTGTACGTATAGTAGTGAGAAACTATGTAGCTAGAAATATTCTTACATACACCTTGTTCTCAACATGATAGAGATGCTCGACAAACATGCTGCTGAGGATAAAATTAAAGCACAACAAGCATAGGGCTGGAATTGTCTTGTATTGAATTAAATGGTTTTTTAAAGTGATTGGACAGAAGCAGATATTGGATCTTCTGGATTCAGCTGACTGGCAATGGATACTCCAGCAGCAGGCGTGCTCTACACTTCTATCACACAATCCATATTTCTCTCAGCTTTTCTGCTACTCGAAACAACTTGCCAGAATTAGGAAATAACTGCAGCCTATAGCGTGCATACAGATCAGAAGATTTCAACTAGATGACTAAAGTACTTCTCACAGTAAATTAAGTGCTTAGTCTGCTGAAATATTGAAAGAAGTAAAGGAATTCTATTCCTACCTGATACATTCTCTCAGGTGAGGCCAGTTATGTCTAACAACTGATCTAAAGAGAGGATCTCCAGTCTGATATAAGTTTGGCATCTGGAACAGCTTTAACATGGAAAGATAGCGAATTTGATAAAAATAGGAGTGTTAGGTTTTTATTTTCTCCAATGCTTGGAAATCTGTGATCATTTTCTGCATCAGCATCCTCGCGTCATAACTTTACTGTTGTCTTTATTTATAAAGCCACTGGCGACCTCTTTTTAAGTATAGCTGTATGCCTGTATGTAAGATAAGTAGGATTTACTGTATCCATGATACCTTTTCCATAGGTCCACGGGATGCAGTTCCTTCCAAAATGCTAAGGACCATAAGCCTGTTCATGCTACAGATGGTTCCAAAATGAATATTTCGCTGAGTGAGTGGAAATGTGCTAGGTAAGCACAAGCATATTCGTGAATCATATCCATCAGTGTCATTCTCCATTCCCATTCAACCAACCATGGGAAGAATCCCATGTTTTTGGATAAATGGCTGTTCCAAAAAGATCAGTTCTTGCTCCTAAATAGATGTAATTCTCTAAACGAGAGTGTTCTTTCAAGACAGCAGACACCTTTGCAGTTTTAGAGTCAGTTTAGATTTGTTTCTGCTGAACAATGCATATCTGCACTTACGAGCTTATAATTCATGAGATCTTTCACTTCAGTCTCCCAGACAAGGATAACTGATCCCCGATTCTTACTAAGCAACATGCTGTGCACTTTAAAACTACATCGATGTCAAAATTTCAGGAAAAAAAAAAAACTTTCAAAGAACTTTACAATATTGCGATTCCTTCATAGACTCAAATCCTGTCATCACACAATTCATCTTGACACATGGACTTCAAAGCTGTAGATTTTGTTAGATACAAAATGGTAATTCCAGTCACAGTAGCTTTGTCTTATTTAGCGTCTGATTTCTAGTTGTTAGCGTCTGATTTCTAGTTGCTCTAGATGGCGAGGTTCTAGTTCAGGTTGAGCCAGTAGGCCAGCTCAGGTCCCAGAGGGGTTTATTGCTATCCCAGTGCTTCAAAATGCCTTGGTCCGTATGATTGGTCTTATGGAGAGCATGGCTCAGGCAAATGTACTTCCTATGGCACCAACTACTTCTCGGGCTGGGGGAGGAGCGCAAACTCCCTCTACTCGCATTGAGGCAGATGACTCAGGGATATCAGACCCTAGGAGCATTTCCGGTTGGGGTGGTTCAACCTATTGTTGCAGCACAGCCGCGAGAGGGTATTAATAAGGCATTATACAATTGTCCTTACTTAAAGGAAGTTAGAAGATTTTTTCTTGCTGCAGTCAATCAAGGATCGTCACAGAAATCAACAAAGCCTTCTGAAAAAAGGTATACTGCGGTCTCCATGAGGCATATTACCATTAGACGCTCTTCTTCACTGGATTCTTCCGCATAGAGTCCTTCAAAAGTCATTGTCAGATCAGAGCAGCTTAGGGATTGTATGAGGAGACCATCTTTGCAGCACATCAGAAAAGTTCTCAACCTTGTTGGGCAAATACATGCACAATATGCAAAAAGAAGCTAGTTTCAGAGAGGAGTAATTGGTTCTGACTAGCTTCTTATGCCCAATCTCTATTTTTTTGAAATGAGAGAGTTTTAGTGTTTCCATATATCTTATCAGTTCCAAGCTTCATCTTAGAAAATACAGATAAAACAGGTTTGCCTTCTCATTCAACCTCTGCAGGGGCATTTAAACTTGCAAATGCTTTGGATTTTCTCATCCTTCTTTGAAAGGTTCAAATCCGAAAGGCTATGGGGTAGTGATCACCTAGAGCATAAAGAGCCAGAACTAGGCAGCAGAATGAAGGCAGAATTACCATTTAGAACAAGATAATTTTTTTCTTCGTATCATCTTATGCTGAAAGATGAAAGCCCATAGATCTCGCACTTATTAGAACGAAAAGTGAAGAAGTCAAGAACCCAAGATACACAAACTATCATGTATGATCGTCAATTGATACCTAATTATATAGTTGCTTTCTAGTGCTGAGTGACACTATGGAATAAAACAAATTCAGACTCAGAAATTTTGTAAGCATACGTATGTACTTTTCCTTGTCTACTGATTTGCACCATGTGAACACAAGTCAACAATTATGATAAAAAGCCTAGAGAGTAAGAAAGCCAACAGCTTATACCAAATGAATAAGTACAAAGAAAAAACTCTGTTGTCCCAATCTGAGTACATTTCTCAGGAGAATCTACTTCTTTACACCAAGAGTCAAGCCAAGGTTTTGAAACAGTGTACAGTACTCAATCGCCTAGAGGCACATTAATTCTTCAGAAATATGCTGAGATAGCTACCTTAGTGTAGTAGTTTGAAGACCTTACCTTATGTTTAGATGCTCTCCTAACCTGAGAGTGTAGTAGTTTGAAGACCTTCCCTAACTCAAACAAAATGAGCTTCCTCATTCCTCATCACAATTTTAGAGCAATTTCTAAGTTCAATTTCATTTTTAGAAACCGTTGCCCTCCTTTGTATAGTCTCAGATGCTGCTAGAGATATACATAACAAACAGATGTCAAAGTAATACAAAATCTTTCCTTCATTTTTTTTAAAAATAAATATCAAAGTTATATAGATAATGAACGATAGTAGCCCCACAAACTAGCATTTTTACACGGACTAGTCTTATTCCGTAAGATTCTCGTGCTGAAACGTCTTACGGATTGAGACTAGAACATGATCTCCCAATGCCGGTACCAAAGCAGTCCAAATGCCTCAACTTCAACAGCAAAAACAGCACAATACCGCACCCAAATCCCAGTGCAGCGCTGGACCCTGTCAATGAGACAGCAGCACAAACCAACATCACAAAAGATTCTTCCTTCGAATTCATAACCCTTGACGCCATAGCCAATTCAATCCCAGCAAATAACAAAAGCACCCCAAGTATCCCAATAGGAAACTGACTCAAAATCCTCACAAACGAGCTCCCAAATACAAGTCCAAGAACCAATTTCCCCAATCCAAGAAAAGCCACTGAAGCCCCACTCCTCCCACCAAATCTATACTGTCCAGCTAATCCTCCTGCCCCGTGGCAACACGGCATTGCTCCAAACCAACAGCCTACCAAATTCATTAACCCAACACTCACTGAAACTCTTGTAGCTGACACTTCCTTTTCTGGGAACAAATCAGCTGACAGTTTACACACTGCGATCACGGAATTTAATACGGATAACGGAATCTGTGGAATCGCGCCCCTTAAAAAACCGGTTTTCCAGTCTTCCCACGTGATTTTTAAAACATGAATCTTTGACGGGCCAAATTTAATATCACCAATAATTGAAGGATCGCGCACGAAACAGAGGATCAACCCCAGCAAAAACACAATAAGAGCTGCTGGAATTGCTGATAGTGTACGTAATCTGCGCCGAACTCTGGGTTGATTACAGTCGTTGGTTACAATAATTCTGTCTTCCTCGTCGTCCTCAACAACTTCACCGGAGCCGGTGACTAGTATAAGAAAAGATACAGCACTGAGAGCCAAAATAAGGCCGTCAAGACCAAGCCACGGACGTGGGGTTGTACTGCTGGCTTTAGTAGTGGCCGTAAAGTCTTGATCATAGCGTATGTATTTAATAGCAGAGAAGGCAAAAGCGAGGCCTTGAGAGAGCTGAACGCCGCGAACAACAGGGAGCGGAATAAACCGGTAGAAAAAGGACATAAGGCCAGTGGCTCCAAGGAAGAGAAGGGTGGATGCGGTGGAGATACCAGCGGCGGCGATTTGAGGAACAGTAAGATGAGGTGTTTCAGAGACGGCGACGGCAGCGATGGATTTCATGGGTTGAACAGGCATCGGAATTCCGAAGAGAGCGCCAGTGATGATGTTGTAAAATGCAGTGAAGATAAGGGTAGTGCTGAGGTCGAGATGGGAGACTAAGGTTAGTGTTAGAACAATGGGGATGTAAGTGCCTAAGTCGCCGACAGAACCGCCGAGTTCGGAGAGGAGGGAGGTTTTGAGACGGAGTGAAGTGGTGAATGGAAGGGTGGAAAGGTGGCTGCGCCACCAGCTGCGACGGAGGAGGGGAGTTGTATGGTCAGAAGTTTGCTCAGCCATTTTTGCCTGTGGAAGTGGCCAGGGGAGGACTGATCACAGATGTGATATGAACTTATGAAGGTGGCGCGCACGCAATTAAACGGAAAATGACAGGCTTTTTCTAATAACAACTAGGGAAGGTTGGAATATTAGGAGTATATACTATATATATATATATTACATTACATTGCAACTATTAATAAGGGAGAATGCTTCCGGTCAAAGTGAATTGACTGAAAAACTCAAATTATCTCCTGTCATCCTCCTTGCCTATCTGGGGCAATTTTGACATTTAAGTCGAATGTGCTTTAACGCCATATATTTTATTGTCTGCCTTTATTTATTTGACTAGACAAAATACTGAAACAGTGGTCCCCTTTAATTTGTCATATTTACACGTTCAGCAAGCTGAGGGCTATTATGATTCATGGCCCCACTATCATTTCACACTAATTTTACAATTTACGTTCTTATGCGCATGTTTAGATTAATGAGTAAAATCCACTTAAATTTATCATCTCACATCCAACTCCACCTTAAATCAACAACAATATGCCCAATATATTTTTACAGTATACAATTTAAAAAGAATAATGTATACTTAGATCTTACGCTTACCTCGCAAAAATAAAAAAACTATTTCAGAAAGACTCTCAGCTCAAAAGAAGCAAAATTTACATCATGTTTGAAAAATAAAATTTCCCTTAAATGAGTATACTAATTATGTAATGTTTAAATTGTGTATATAGTTTTTTCTCTTACTTTATAGTTTAAAAGCGAGTAACATTTTCTGTCTTAATATTCTATTTGATATTAAAAATAAGAATAAACAGAATATTAACTACTATAATCAAGCAAAATACAAATTATTTTACAAAAGGCTAATCCTTAAATATTGCTACGCCATCTCAAACCAAAACATTGAGTTACTTTTATTAATTGTTAATTAAGCTATTCTCATTTACAAAATAACTTGCTCCGACTTAATGTAAAATACTAATTATAAATTTATGTATATATATATATATAAAAGATGAATTGAGTAATCTAATTAAGAAATAATACAGACTCAAATTAGAACTCACAGCATCGCTTGAAATGCATTAATTTCACCATTTGAATCTTCGTGATTATTTTGAATATTAAGTGAACATTTCAAGGTGCAATTGTTTAAAAGAAGATATCTCATCTTATTTAATACTATTAACAAGTGAATTATAGAAAAATATAAATTTTTTGGTTATTCACAAGTTAACGAGGTTTAAATAAATTAGGAACTTTTTTCTTAAATTTAACATGCTCAGAAATTACCAAAATGTGTTGCCTATGAATTTTTGTGCTACTAATAAGCCTACTTATTATTTTACTAAAAAAAGATATATTGTAACTTTCATATTAGAATATGAGGAAAAAACAACACACAACGACAAAGAAAAGCAAGTTGATGAAATATTGGGACCATTTTACTCCTTTTTCCTCTATGTTTAATTCTAATAAAATAATTTTAATCATATAGTTAACTCGGAAACAAAATAGTTTTTCTTGACTAAAGATACATATGAAATTTCTATCTTTAAATATATTATTTAAATTTACATGAATGATCTTTATAAAATAATTGGAATAATACAATTAAGAATATTATCTTTGTAATTATGTGTTAGCATGGGCCATCCCACGTCTAGTTACAGGTACAAACCATAAGATTTACACCTTTAGCTTTTGAGTCCGATAAATTAATTCTTTGAGCTAATGCTTTTTGGTGGTTCTCAATATTCTGAAACATTTACTGATATTAATCGTTCTCACAGTCGTGAACTCTTAATTGTACATGCAACTCCATAAAAAGAATCTAATTACGCTCAAAATTTTGAAAATGAGAAGAAAACAGAAAGTTACTAAGCAAAACGTGACATTAAAATTTAAGAGAGTTAATTTTCTAACCCATTCAAAATTCCAACCACGATTAATAATATAATATATATATTAATATATAATATAGTAGTATATATTATATTTATATATTTGTTTAATAACAAGGAAGCCAGGTAGCTTATAGCCTATAGTCTTTAATCATCTTTCTCTTTTTAACTTGTGAGGAATGTTTCTCTGCTATTAGATATGTGAAAAGCCGTTGATATTAATTCATTCCCATCTTTGATAGTTGTTGATGTTGATCGAGAAAAGCATAAATAAATATCTTATTCAATGTCTATAGCTGCAAATACGTTAGGCCAACTGGACAATTTAAGTCCCAGATAATGAGTCTGTGAAGTATTTATCAATTTCATTTCATTCGAAGAATTAGCCTAAATAGTCGTTCGTCCAACTATTTAAATTAAAAATAACTCGTGTAGGTATAATATATATATATATATATATATATATATATAATTATATATAATTTATGTATATGACTAATAAAAGTAAATAATGAATATAAGCGACTATTTTCGTAAAAATCCTTTTGATTGTGATCTTCCCAATCAGCTCTTCCGTACACGAAAAGTCAGAGCCAAGTTGGTGAAATCGTGACTACACAAAATCTGAAAGGTCCCTTTTTCCCTGGGGCTAAGGCTGGTCGCTCTTCGAAAAATCTGAAAGGTGTTGATTTTGCAATCATCAATGAGATGCCCCCAATGAATTTATTTATTTAATAAAGGAAATTTACCATAGCTAAATCCAAGAACTATTAATAGATTATAGCTACCTTTTAATTAAATTGTACTTTTCTATATGAAACTTAAATTATACTTTTCTTTTTTATTACTTAACTATCCTATTATTGTGGGAAGATATTTAAAAGGAATGAAGTATTCGCTGTTTTCCTATTATATATATTATATTTTATATATATAGAAGAGAGATGAGGAGGTCGACCAAGGGCATTATTGTCATTTCAAAAATATAACTATTCCCTCCCTTTCAATTTAGATGTGGTAGTTTGACTCAGTATGGAGTTTAAGGGAAAAAAAAGACTTTTGAAACTTGTGATCTTAAAATTTAAAGGGTAAAAACTTTGCGGGACTATAATATTTGTGTGACTATAAAAACTTCTCATTAAAAATAAAATAAAAAATTTAAAATTGAATTATAATATATTTGAAAAAAAAAAAAAGGTAACTACGGAGTACATTATATAACAGGCTCAACAGTTTGATTGCCGGTTTCAATTGACCGAAAAAAACCAAAAGCAAGGTGACCCAAACTTGAATTCTTCTGTGGACCCCATTTCTCATTCTAACCTTACTATCTTCTTTGAATGCACTATTTAATTAATGAGACTACTTCACTCACACCTTCACTGTCTATTCTTTTTTTCATTTAGTACTTTTAATTAAAAAAAATTATCTGTTGGGTAATTTTATAATTCAACGTTTATTTGATTAAAAACATACAATGGTTACATACATTTATATATAACAATTCTAATGTCTCCTTCAAAAATATTATTTCAATTGTTTTAGGCAAAATACATAACTTACCACATGAACTATGGACTAAATTTTCATTACAGATTTTTTGCGGACGAAAATTATTTTACATACTCAAACTTTTTAAAATGTGTCTAAGACACACTTCCTTTACAACGTGGCATGCGCGTGCTTAACAAAAAATGAAAGCGCGTTCACCTGTTAATTTGTTATTCCAATCCTTATTTAGATGACATATATTAAAGTTTGATTTTTTTCTTTCTTTTTAACATTATTGGTTCCTCTTTACCCCCCCCCCTCCCCCAAACCCACCCTTCTTCCTCATCTCACACCATTTTCTTTTCTTAAAAAATTATAGCCATTTATTAATTCCCATACAACCATACTATCTGAAATTCTTTTAAATTGTTCAATTCATTTGAATTATTTCTCTCAAAGATCTCTAGTATTTTGGTTCTTTATCTTCAGATTTTTCCCATTCAGTTTTCTTTTTCGGTTTGTTTTAAGATTCAACTTTTTGTCTTCTTTCCCACAATGTCTATGTTCCCAACTTTCAGAAATTGATAAACATAGCTAAATGATCGAGAAAAATTACAGAGCCTCATTGCCTTCTTCTCCTTTTCATTCTCCACCCATCTTCTCTTTATTCGGCGCCACCATGAACTGTGGCATATCAAAGGTTGGGTCGAGTTTCCAATCACATTTTCACGGTGAATTGCAATGTGAAGTTCACGAATTTGTTAAGTTTTTATCTTGATTGTTTTTCATTATTTTCTCCTATTTTTATTTTCAAGTAGTCTTTGTGAGATTTAAGTGGGTATTCAAATTAATTAGAAATAGGTTATTAGGCGTTTTTGAAGTGAAATAATCTGTTTGATTATTGTAAATGAGCTATTTGACTTTAAAAATTTACTTGGGCTCCTAAATTTTTTGTTCAATCTGAAGGTGGCGTGTTCTGGTTTCCTTCTGTCAGAGAAGACGCCTTGTAAAAGAGAAAGATATGAGAATTGCTAAGGGGTATAACTGTTTTATTTTTAAAAACATTTAATAACATGTGTCACGATCTTATTGGTGCGTGAATTTACACATTATGAGAAATTGGTAAAGAAAAAAGTGGTGTGTCTTAGACACATTTTGAAAAGGTTGAGTGTGTAAAGTAATTTTCGTCCGCAAAAAATGTGTAACATGGATTTGGTCCATAGTTCAGGTGGTAACTTATGTATTTTGCCTTTGTTTTATTTGTTGACTATTTTAGGTAAAGACTATTTTTTTAAAAAAAAAAATAGCAATAAATTATGTAAATTTTTATTAAGGTGTTCTTATACTAGTATCAATTGATATAATTTTATACAAGTTCTCATTAAATTGCAATTTTAATTGGAATACTTTATAAAATTAGGAATAAATATTTAAGATGTGATATGAACTTATGAAGGTGGCGCGCACGCAATTAAACGGAAAATGACAGACTTTTGCTAATAATAACTGGGGAAGGTTGGAATATTAGGAGTATGCTATATTACACATACCATAAGATTTTAGTTAACTAGTATTAATATACGCGCGTTGCGCGTGTATCCTGTATAAATGAGAAATATTTTATTAAAATAACATAATTAATTATTCGAAAAATGTATTTGTGTTACATCTCTTTATTTTCACTGTCTTGATTCGGTTCTGAAGTCAGAGAATTTGATAG